AAACCAAACAATAAGACACTTCATAGTTTACAACATCTCAACACACCCAATATCTCAACATGGCGTTCATTACCCTTACATAAGTAAGCAATTCACAACATATGATTCATCACAATTTGCCACATCAATGCCATTCAAACATATATACAACAATCATATGAACAAAGTAAATTACACCACATCATATGCATATACCTCAACTAATGCGTTGTCACAAATTCACTTACGGAGATTTCCTACAATAAGGTGAACAGTTTAATTAGCTTGATCTTATCAAACTAACACAACCTTTTTACACTTGTTAGGTCAACAACCAAATTGGGATACCAATTCTTAAAAACATGATTTCGTGGATGTTACCATTTAAATTAAGAAGTCTAGTATTTCTGTCAGGATAGAAGAACTTGGGTATAAGCCTATTACGACATTAGTTTGCAAAACTAAACATCCTATGGAATTAACTCACCGACTACCCTCCAAAAACTATGTCCCTCCTCCAATGCTCAATTAGGGACTAAGTCCTCAACCTCGTACTTTATTCAATTGGTTACTTTATACTCGTATGCCTTGACCTTGCTCACATACGGGTCAATATTAGTCACTTATAATTAGTATAGTTCGACCTAACTCTTATACTGCGATCACTTATAGTTGGTATGTCTTGACCTTACTCATATACCACATCAACGAAGGTCCTAAAGGAGACTCAACAATCCACTCCAAGAGATAACATCTACTTAAGGAGAGTTTTTCAATAATTAGACTTATAGAGCTTCACACTAATATCCACACAATGAGATATTCGAATTTTAAAAATAATCTATCTTCTAGTCCTAAGTTAATCAACATGCCTAAATGTCTAAAATATTCTTAGTATCAACACTTCAACACATTTATCTATATGCATTACCCAAGGTTAATGAATTTAGATATAAAAATATGAATCAAATTATAACATATCAATGCATCTCAACAATTTCACCCATACAACTATCTATATTTATTATCTCATACCAGTACACATAGAACAAATATCACCAATCAACATGCAACATGTAATAGGTTCACCTAACCTATTCATGTTCACCATTTAATCATATAAACAACAAATTATTATAAGGCAACCTACGCTTGATATTATTCATCCTACACCCAACGTCATTGAGGCAAGGAGCCCTCTACCTCGCCCATGCCCGATGCCATTCAACTTGCACTCGATGTGACTGAGGTAGAAAGCCCTTGGACCTTACACATGGCATGGCAAAGTCCCACCCTCGACCCCAAACTTGGTAGAAACGAGTCTCTCTCCTCATGTCGACACCACTCCTTTTGTGCCTGACACCAATCTAGAGAGAGCCAATTCTCTAACGCCACATTCGATGTCATTCAAATCATCCTCGACGCCATCAATCATGTGTCAAACATGAGCAAGATAGAGGCCCCTGATTCAAGCCACACCCGATGTCATTAAAGGTACGTCCAACATGACGGTTGCAAACTCATGAATTACCCTTCTTTCACTTGAAAACCAAACAATTCCATATATGCATGATAAGATAACACTTATATACATCATCCATGAATTAATTTGCACTAAAATAGTTGCATGCAACAACAACTCAAATAAATTATCAAGATTCACCTTCATGAAGTCAAAACATCCAATTTCAACAAACCAAAATCCACGCCTCATAATCATTTGTACAATCATGCATTGAATGAATTCATGGCACATACAACTCAACACTCCATTAAAGATCAAAGTTCTAACTTCCTCTGTTGCAAAATCAAAAGAAAGAAAAGTCGCTTCTTGGTTCCAAAGCATCTCACTCTACTCTCTCTAAGGCTCTTTGAGGAATTGAGTTTATAAAGCTCAATCCTCAAAAGAAACATTATATATTTATCTCTTTCTCATGGTCAACTATACTTTTTTTCTAGAAAACCCTCAAAATCATCTAAACTCATGAGAATTCCTAATTTATCAGAGTTCTCAACAAATAAACACCAAAAAATCCCACAACATGCAATTATTGATAAAAACAAAACAATTAACAAACACAATGTTACAAATATAGTTCATTATAATTTTTAATTATATATAATAATATTTAACTTGTATATTTCACATGTTAAAATACTAGTTTAACTATAAAGAACAAATGAGAAAAGAAAAAGAAAATGCGAAGTCTACAAAATTTCATCCCCTCAAACTCAAAGCCTCAAATAAAGCAAAAGTATTTTTTAATTTAAATATATTTTTAGTCTTTCAGATTTAGGAAAAATTTATTTTTGATCCCTCAAATTTAAAATTGTTATTTTTATTCCCTAGCCTATAATTTAAAAAAAAATTATTTTAGTCTTGTAAGTTACTAATAACATATTTAAAAGTAACAAATTGAGATAATTATGCAATATAAGATGAGTTTAATGTAATATTTTTACTAATATGATTACTAATAAGTGGATTTTATGCGATAGTATTTGATAAATTCCTTAACAATTTTTTTATAAGGACTAAAACAATATATTTTGAAACATATTTACCTTAAATTTAAGAGATTAAAAATATATTTAAGTCATATTTTTTTAAAAGAAAAGCAAAAATATTTTTAATTGATAACATATTTATTCTTTAGTTATCATTATATAGAATTTAATTAATATAATTATATTTTCAAACTTTATAACATTCAATTTCTAATTTTAATTATGTAATTTTAGTCTTCTAATTTTATAAAATCTATAATTATAATTTTATTGTTAAATATTTATCTGTTAAAATTATAATTATAATGTTGTGAAGATAATTACTCTCTTCCTTCTTTATTAATTGTCGATTTTTTAATAATTTTTTCTATTTATTTTTTATTTTAATATTATTTTTTAATTATACTTTTACATTTCACATAATTTTTAATTAATTTATACAATAACAATTAATATGTATTTATTACATATCAAAAATTAAAGAGAATACAATAGAAAATATAAAAAATATTTTGTAAAAAACAAAAAATTATTACATTTATTGATTTATGTATAATAAACATTAAAAACAATAAAAATAATATTCAAATTAAATTAGATATTTAGGGTTCACTTTTCTCTCATTCTCATATATTTTTAACACTCTTGTGAGATATAAATGAGAACTAAGAGTGCAATTTAGCCTATTATCATGATATTTACTTGGTGTTAAGTTATGATTAACATTATAATTTTAACAATCGACATAAATGTTTAACACTAGAACAAAAATTGTGAATTTTATAAAATTACTAAGCTAAAATTATGAAATTAAAAATTCAAAGACCAAAATTACCAAATAAATTAAAATTAAAATTTAGCTTTGTTTTTAATGAAATGAAAGAAAACTAAATATTTTTATTTTAATTTAAATGACTAAAATTTTCTTTTATACATATATCTAATTTAACGAAGTCTCTTGACCCATTAATTAAAAAGTTTGTCCTAAGATATATGAGCCAATTTGATGTTCGTATAATTGATTCCTACCAATATTCAAATAATGTTTTTCTTTTAGGTATATTCAAATAATGTTTAACTAGCAAAAATCATGTCCTGCGAATATATGTTAGTCCTTGATTTTTAATTTTGAGATACTGCGTGGAATATGTTCATAAAAAAATATAAATATATAATTTAAAATTTAAAATATAATAAAATATGAGAAAATTTTTGTAATGATTGTAAAAATCAGTTTTGCATTATTATTTAATTACAACTTATCATTTATGTTAAATTTATTGACTTTTACTATAGTTAGGTTAAAAGTTATACTAATAATTATTTTTAATTAGTCGATAATGTAAAATCTTTTAAAATGACGGTAAATGAACATTAAATCTATAAAATATATTTCACATGTTCCATTTTATTTGAAATTTTAGTAATTTTGTTTTTTAATTTTATGATTTTTTTTACAATGTACTATTATATACTAATATATAAAAAATATTATTTTTAGTAATTACTTTGATCTTCATATTTTATTGACTATTATACCCTTTTTTATTTTAAAAAATTAGAAAAAAAATAATATTTCTAATCAAATTTAAGAATTTGAAATTAATGGACTAATTATAACATCATACCAATATATTTTTATTACTTAATTTTTATTTTTATTTTATTTTTAATAGAGATATAAAGTGTCTCAGCCTTACAAATATAACATTAATTTTTTTTATTATACTTTTAATCATTATTAATGTATAATTTAATTATTAATAAAATTAAAAATTTTAATAATACATTACAAAATTCCATGATTTATTTTATAGAATCACACATATTAATTATATTTCTTAAATTTCATACAAAAATCGTTAAGAATATAATAAAACTAGTAAAATATATGCAAATTTGTGATAAAGACTATATACTTGAACATTATAATTGAAAAATATTAAAGTTCTCTGCGTTTATTTCTTCTTCTAATTTCATATCATTTCAACTGATAACAACTTGTATTTTGAATAATAGCATTTTAACTAACAATCCAAGAATCAGTCAGTCACACTAGATCCAATAGAAATGAAATAACTATACCTAATTATCACATGATTATTTAAACAACATTATTCTATCAGTAATTATAATTAATATAACAAAACTCAGCGTTTTCCACATATTTGACCGCGCAATCACAGAGCCTCTATTAAACAAACGTTTATATTCCCTATACAGTATCTCAATAATTGAAAATGACAATTTTTTTTTAAAGAGTATGGCCCACTGACAAGCGACCTACGTAGATACATTATTAAGGTAAAATAATAGCAAGAAAAGAATCAGTTGAGCAGCAATAAAATCAAATGAGTAGATTATGACACCATATGTTGAATAAAATATTAATTGTTGGGTATTTCTCTAGCAATCATCACCCACAAAATTCCAAACAAACCCAGGGGCTTAGGCCCAACCACTCCATTAATTAAAAATAATAAGACCCCTAAGTTGGTCTTATAAAGACACCAACCCATCCCATCCCCTTTCAGTTTCAGCCCCTCCCTAGTCCCTATAACCACAACCCTTCTCATTCTCCAATTTCATTCCACAACTAAATTTCTGATCATGTTGGGGAAGAGGCCCCGGCCAATGATCGGAAAGTTGTCGGAATTGTTGGTTCCGAGAGGCCGCGTGGTGGGCCTTTCCAACACCACTGGAAGCCCAAGAGGCCCGTTGGACCTCAAGATGCAATCGCCAAGAGGGTTAAAGAGCTATGACCTTGGTGGCGTTGGTCTTGGAATTGTGGTGGCTCTTGATAAGTCCAGCGAGTGTGGACACGAAGTTTTGCCCAAACACGCCGTTTGTACCTCCAATTTGAACCGATCCGGTCCAATCCCGGTTCACTGCGGCAAAAACTCACCCGAAATTGACGTGGAGGAATACACCTATGTGACATGCCATGTACCTAATAAATCGTTCACTAGAGTATATTATGATGGCGGTGAGAGGTGTTGTAACAACAACAACAACAACAAGAACAACGTTGTTGTTCTCAAAAGAAGCACACCACAAATTTTAATTGAGCCGGAATCATCATACCCCACATCGAATTTTCTTAGTTCGTGTCACTTGTGCGGAAAGAAACTGGAGGGCAGAGACATATACATGTACAGGTAGATACTAACTATTAACTAAGCTAAGTGAAGGCAAAGTTTGTGTTGTTTAGTTACATAAATGATGTGTGTTGGACTAACTGATGTGTTTGTGCAGAGGAGAGAAAGCGTTTTGTAGCACGGAGTGTCGTTCGAGTCAAATAATGATGGATGAACGGAAAGAACGTTGTAGGTCGGAAGCATCAAGGTCCGTGGAATTGTCGAGTTCAAGGGAACAAATATTTTCAACTGGGATTCTTGCGCTTTAGCCTAATAAACTGAGGCTAAGGCTACTACGTACATAGTTAATATACTGTTATTGACTATATGGAATTAATAGTATATATATATATATATATATGAATATGAGATGAGAGTTAAGTTAAGATATATAGCTTGATCGGAAACCAAAACAAAAGTTTTGATCGGCTAAAGGGTTCGGTTCAGTAGATATTTTGATGTATTTTTGTGTTACCAAGAACAAGGCAAAGAGTTATGGATTTTCAGATCTCAGTTTCTGAATTCTCTCTCCAAGGAAGATAACTCAGGCTGTTTCTCACTTTTCTTTTTTCTTTTTCAAAGCTTCAATTTTGTAGTAAAAGATCACATGATTCACGTGAGTAATTCTTATCTTTAATATATTTTAACTTCAAATTAGTATTTTATATTTAATGATAATATTTTTAATACTTGGGCGTTGATTTACGGACGTTGACCTGACTTATTTCTGCTTGTGAGATTTATTTTCAAAAAACTTTAAAAGTAAAAAATAAATAAAAAATAATGAGTATTTATTTAAAATGAATTAAATCAAACATGTACTTGATCTCTATTAGTATCAAATTTGTCTCTTATTATTTAAGTTTTCCATAAAAGCATATAGTGGTCTTTTAGAAAAACTTGATGGATAATTTTTTTCAAAGGTTTATGTGATTACAAATTTAAAGTTTTGCCTAATATATAATTCTCGTCACTTGTTTTTAATTTAAATTAGTAGCAAGAATCGTGATAGTATGAAAAAATAAAAAGAAGTATTATGTTCGAATATTATTATTGTCATTGTAAAATATTTTTTACGAATGAAAAAATTAATTCTAAAATATATTTTCTTAAAATTTAGTTCTTATCTTGTTCATTAATATTTAGATCTTGTATTATTGTGACGAGTATATTTGTTTTAATTTTTTTTATTAAAAAATCATGTTTATTTAACTTTTTCACAAAAAAACCTAGTGTTTATTTAAGTTTTTTGTTTTTTGCGAAAAGATATCAGGTTCTAAAAAAATGTTTGATTTAAGATTATTTTTATAAAAAAAAACTAGTTTTTAGTATTTTTTTATAAAGTGCTGAAATAAAATTAAAATATTTAAATGAGATTTTTTTTTATAATTATCTATATCATTATATAAAAGGAATATTTTTTTAATAATGCCTTTATTCTCATTTTTATATAAACTCTTATTTTTTATTTTATTAAAAAACTAAACTATTCTTTATCTTTTAATTTATTTATTTTTGTCTCAAATTATAGGAGACGTTTAGTATGCAAATATTTTTCTTTTTTACAAAATTAAAAATTAAAAATTTTAGTTTTTTATATTTGATAGTTATTTTAAAAAAAATCTTAGGAATATAGTTTCTTGAAAGTCATTATTATCTCACATTTTTACCAAAATATTTTAATGAAAACGTGAAATTTTAATAATATTATTAAAATTTATTTATTTATTTCTTCATTCGTTAACACTTATTTATTTTTATTTGAATGAAATAAAATAATATATTTTTATCTTTCCTAAATGTAATATATTCTTTGTTGTTTCTTTCGTTGAATTCTTCTAAAAAAATAAATTTTAAGCTTTTTCTTTTGACGAAGCACTAAAATAAAATTTAAAATGAGATTTTTTTTTATAATTGTAATAAAATAACTTTTACCTTGCATAAAATTTCTAAAGAAAACCAAAAAACTTATAATAAAAAAAAAAAAGTTTAAACAAGAGTTGAATATTGACCCGTCGCTGAGTTACTTGAGTTTGAAATAAATTTAAAGCGTGACACACATAGAATAAAAAACATTAGTATACTTTATGTCACTATACGCTACATGTTTCACAATAATTTTAAGCGAGGGTAGAGTTGGAAATGATTCACAAAGAGATTAATTTTTCATCCACGAACAAAATTAAAAACAAATTTAATATGTAAGGACTGAAAAAATGGTAATTTTGTGCATCTCACTATTTCTTCCCGTCTTTTGTTTTGTTGCGGATTGGTCTCATTGCAGCCCATAAATGCTCTGCATAAGTCATCTAAAATGACAAAAGGCCAAGACTTTAGAATACACTGTTCGTAAAGTGAGGGTAAAAGGGTACATAGATGTTTTGTTGAACAGAAGGAGAAGCTGTCTCATAAATGTGATATTTCGTCGTTTAAGTTGATGCCATTGTTTGAAAATGAAAAGAGCACCAATGGAATGAATATGACAAGAGAATCCAACTATGAGTGTGGCCCTTCCATTCCCACTAACTAAAAGAAAAAGAAAAATCATCAAACGAGTTAGGATCTTAAAGAGAAGCATATCATGGTTCCTAGCTACTTTATGCTTTCCAACCCCCTTTTATTATTCCTCACTTGTGAGCATATGCCCCCACTACCAAATTCTCTTTCTCCTTCTCAAATTTCCCTAAAACTGAACATCATTCTGCTCCCTTCTCTCAACAGAGGCCTTATTAATTATTATTGTTACTAATATAATCTACATGCATATTTTTGTTCTTTATTTTTTCCAAAGTTCTATATCAATGCACTGTTAACATTTCAATTTAACTCATCATGATAATTTCATTTTCATAGTTTAGAGAAGAAGAAAAAGAGAGAAGGGGGTAAGTGATCATTTTTTTTTTTTGAGAAAGTGTTATTTTTTTTATTGTGGGCCCATTAACTTCTGTAGTTTTATTTTTAACCACCTATAAGCTTCTTCAGTCTGTACATCTTCCATCTCATTTTATTTGATGTTTCAATCAAAATAATTATCTCATTTTAATTTTCAGTTTACAATGCATTAAATATATTTCTCAATAATATTCTCAACCATTTATCGTTGAGTAAAAAATAAAGTATTAATGAGAGATTTAATTAATGTAAAATATAGAGGGTATATTAAGAGTTCGAATAATAATTTTCGAGAAATTTAAAATATTAATTATATTTCTTGTTTTATGTGTCAAAATCATAAACACCAAACAAAATAAAATAGAGAAAGAGTATGAGTTCGAGAAAATAAAAATTAAGTCATGACTTTGAAATTTCCTACCCCGTGGATGGAATAATTGTTTTGATTTACTGAATAGTCCAAGGCATAATACCCCAAGCTTTAATTTCAATTCCACATGAGAATTTCAATTCCATAGTTTACCCAAAAAAAAAAAAAAGGAGTTGTTCAGAACCACTCAAAAAGGATAAGATATTTAAATAGAATACTCGATGACTTAAAATAAATTACCAAATTAGTTTTTCAAGTATTACTCTATCTTGTATACCCTCTAAAATCATAAATTTTTGCGAGTTGTTCCTCAAGAAATAAATATCTTTAATTTAATTCCTGAGTTGGTATGTTTTATTAACGATTTTTCCTTCAATATATTGAGGACTAATTAGAATTTTTAATACTTAGGAATTATTTATATGATTTTTATATTTCAAAGACTAAATAGGAGAGAGAGTAATACCCAGGGGATGAAATTGAAGGTTTATTCCTATATCTATAGAACACTTTTGATGATCTCCAAGTTTATAAAAATTAGATATTATGAGCCCATTTGTTATAATTTTTTTCATGAAAAGCAGTCACCTTTTTCTAAAAAAATAAAATAGAATCACGCTGTTTTTTTTTTAATAAATATTTTTTGTGATAGTAGTTGATGTATATATTTTTAAAATATAACAACAACAAAAAACACACACACAGTTACACTAGATGGATATCTCAGACTGAAGTTGTGTATTTGAGAGATAAATTAAGCTTGTTTGATGATTGGTTAATTAGTTTATTCAATTTATTTAAAGATGAGTAGTTACTTGTAAAAAAAATATATTGATTCACCTAATCAAATGTTTTATTATAAAAGAAAAGTAATGTTACATGTACAATAAGAGTTCTAAACAACTTTCATAATATCATTTTTTTTCTTCTATTTTTCACTATTATTAATAAAATTTTTTATAATAACTGAAGTGATACAAACAGATAGACATAAAAATAATGATATACAAATTGTATAATTTTTATTGTACATTACTCTTAAGTCTTAAGTAAATTAATTAAACTCGAATTATATATAGATTAGATTCATTTTTTTTTAAAAAAAAACAACTTAAACCATGTTTTCTCCAACGAGCCCAAATAAATTATAGTTTGGACTCTTGAGTGCTACTTTTAATTGTTCTGTGAATACTTCTAAACGTCTATCAGAAAATGTGTGTATATGTACTTATGTAGGACTGCTTAAAAACCCAACGTGTAGTTTGTTTTTCGCATTGTGCTTTTTCACTAACCGATAGAAATATCAGTTTAACGTATTTCCTGTTTCCCATTTTTTTTTTCTTTTCTTTTACTTTAACAAATTTAAAATTATAACTTCGTAACACTTTTTAAAAAATATGATAACATCAAAAAACTATTAAGAGTACATATTAATGTTAACTTGAAGGGGAGGTTTAGTTGTTTATTTTTCTTCAACTTCAAGCTTTCAATATCGTATCAGATGAATACTAACGAAAAAGTTGTTCCATTTTCTTTCGTGCTCATGCATTTTATCAATAGGAATATCTTTAAAATCTGGTTTAAATTTACAAGCCTACTACTTTCGTTATCTCTTGCATTGACAAGCGTAGAAACTAACACCGTGCATCTCAATCAACATTTTTGCTTCTTTTTTTTTTTTTTAAAAGAATAACTAATGACCGTCAATCAACATTATTGATGAGGATATTGAACTTTTTTTTTATTTTAATTTTGATGTCTGAACTATTTTCTTTTGATTGGTTGTTAGAAAATAAATGGAAAAAAGGGAGAAAATTGTATTGAAAGTTGTAATAACTTTCTATAGTTTGAAAAAAAAAATTAGATAGGTGATATTGTATAGAGATCTGTTTCTAATAAATTAAGGAGTAGACTTAAGAAAATAAAATGATTTACAGTTTAAGATAATTTTACTTTCATATCTATTAAAAATATATGAGAAAAACATCATCATTGTATGAGGAATGTGCACTTAATTTTAAATGTTTTTTTTTTCTGAACTAATGATTAGATTTAATTTTATTTTTCTCTTCTAATAAACAAAAAAAAACAATCTTTTATTCTCTTCGTACCTCACAACATCAAGCATAAATTTTTCTTTAAACCTTTTATTCACTTTCCCTCTACTTTCAAACAAATCATGATTATTAAGATATATAAAAGTTGAATACTTTTTTAGTTCTTGTAATTTTACTTCCTTTATATTTTAGTTTTTATAATTTAAAATAAATATTTTTAATGTTTATACTTATTTTTTAATTATTTGTTATTTTTAGACAAAATTTTTAATTTGATAAATGCAAAATAATAGATTGTTGTGTTCACTTGAGCATAGCTTAATCAGAGCTAAACATAAATGATTGAATATTTGAATAAGCAACAAACTTAAAACTCCATGCCCACACGCATAAATAAGACTGAAGACATTACTTCCTATTCCCAAAACATAATAAACAAATAAAAACTTTAAATTCTTAAAAAGATTGCCTATCTAAATTAGACGTTGAAGATAAAAATAAAAATACTTACGAGGTGATAACTACGTAAAATATACTGTTAGAAAGTCGTGCATTATTACTGTACCCCACCAAAACCGAAAAGAGTCAGAGACCGAGACAAAAGTAGTATGACACTTGGACGGAATTTTATAACTAAAAGTTTGATGGCTCCCAAACTGCAGAAAGGTAACGCGATACAATCATCGAATGATCGTCAATAGAAAAAAGACACCATTCATGCACGCAACGGCTAGGACATTGTAGCAATACAAATGTGCCATCCATAAATACGCACAGAAGAAAATTTAGGAGGATAAAGCTAGAAGAGATGGGGGCAGGAAAAGGAAGAAAATAAACGGTATAGTAGAACCGTTCTAACGGTTCAACACACTTTAATGCTCCCTTGTTTATAGCAGGGAGTTGTACAACATATTTTTACTGATAGTACATTAGGTGCTGGGTGGTCGCAACATTCTGGAATCTTGCATCATAACCAGCCCCAGGAGCACCCATTCCCATGGCTGCCTGCTTTAGGGCATGTTGACCTTGCTGATGCATAAGGGCGGCATGTGCACCTCCCATTTTACTCAATGCCATCTGTCGTTCATACGCTGCAAGACCAGCAAGAGAAAAGCCCGGCACACTCGCAGAAGCAGGTGGGGGAAGAGGAGTAGAGGCTGTACCCGGAGGAGTGGGTTTGCTACCCCATGAACACTGTAAAATATCGGTTAACAGAATTACATACAACATTATTTTCCAGAGCCTTTGGAAAGGAGTTCCAAAGCTCAAAATTATATGTGGTAGAGAATATGATTGAGAAGATGTGAACAAGAGCTTCAGACTTTTGAGAAACAAAGACAATAAAATAGTTGGCATTTTACTTCAATTTAATTTAATCTGGCAGTGTGGCACACATTTTTTTTTTCGGAAGTACTCCAGTAAATGCCACAAAAGCTATAAATAAAACCAGCTATAACAATAATAAAATTATCAACAAATAAATATCCTGCCAATTACCTTGATAGGTTTGCCACAGAGAATTCGAGCATTACCCATTTGTATAGCAAGAGCTGCTTCAGCATGGGTACTGTATCTCACAAACCCAAAACCTTTGTCTCGTTGCACCCTAACATCTTCAATAGTTCCAGCACCAAGAGAATGAAAATGGTGATGGAGATCAACAGATGTAACCTGCAATTTCACAGCTTATGAGAATGGCTACAGAGCAATCTTACTGACAGAAGTTAAAGAACTCTGCATATTTAAATACTGCTCGCAAGTTGTTAATCTAATTGCCTAATATAGTACTGAAACACTCACCATCTATGCACAAAGCTACAAGACTAGTTTATACTACACAAGCACATTTAAATAGCAGAAAAAATAATTCAGACAGTTATGAAGAACTAGTGAGGAAAAAACTCTCATAAAAGTTAGAAAAATATAATCCTTGCCTCTGGAGCCAGATTGCCAACATAAACAGTGGTATATTGAGGATTCTTCTCGGGGGCATCATCATTGGTTATTTCCTGGCCTTCTTCTACAAAAATAAATAAATAAATAAAAAGTCGATCATAAGAAAAGATCATCACAAAGCAAAATCTACAATCATGTCACCATGATCAATTGAAGGAAAAAATATCAATATAGCAGAAAAAGATAAATATTTGAAAATGTCAATTATGATGCATATATTGAAGATGAACCAAAACATATCAGCCACTTGAAATGCTATTTGGAAGTGTCCAGTTTAAAATTTATTTCAAATGAACTTTCCTGTCTGATAGTATAAAAAATGAACAGTTTCCTTCAGAAAATATTCTAGACTACGCATGTAGTCATGAAAGGAAAAATTAGAATTTAATGATCTCTAAAGATGAGACCCATTCAAAGGAATCTCAGTACAATAAACTCAATCTCACCAGATGTTCCATTTGTTAACTCCACAACACTTTTTGAATCTGAGCCCTGCTTTTCATCACTGGCATTGGCCCCTTTGGTGGCCCAATTACAACGAATCTGTCTACTTCCAAGCCATTTTCCTTAAGTGTTGGGAAAACAGAAAACGTCAAAAAATTAAAAAAAAAATCAGATACAATTGAAACAGCTAATGCAACTAACAAAAGACAAAATTAAATAAACAACAAATTAATGAACCAAATATCCCATGGAAATCATCACTGTCAATGGCAAGGACTTGAATACCAAAATTGTATGTTCAGGGACCATATAACAAGTCAAAATGGTTATTTGATATTCAGAATAAATAACAGCCCAATTACTGCATCCCATTATCAGATACCCCCACAATATGTTTTAAAGCATGTTATAGGGATCACATGTATATTAGATCTCACATACAATATGTTTTAAACAATTTTTACATCATACAAAAATTGAAAAAATATAATATCACAATATTCATGCATATATCACATGGAGAATGTTAAAAAAGAAAAAAAATAGCATTTACATGATGAAAATATCTTACCAGTCAAATCATTTATAGCACTTTGGGCTTCCTGATAAATGAAATCAGAGAACAAAAACATCCTGATATTAGCATGGAAAACAACACAGAAAACACCAAAAATACTGTACAAGAACAAATGTATAAATGAAGTGATGATTTCATGCCTGCTGATTCCGGAAAGAAACAAATCCAAATCCCCTGGAACGGCCTGTCTTCTGATCCCACATCACCCTTGCATCACTGTAACACCAACATACCATAGTCGTCATCATGATACTACAAAAATAAACTCATTTAACATATACATTCAGGTATATGCACTTCCAACAAAATATCTCTAGTAAACCATAAAACAATATAGCAATGAGAAGAAAAAGATAATGGGCTTATAAAAACTTACGAACAACTAGGATATACAGAAAAACAAGCATACAATGTTGCATCTGTAACCTCGGGACTAAGGTCACCAACAAAAATATTAAAGTGACCTGAAACCAAATGAAGAGAAAAAGGTAAAGTTGCCTTTCCATAAAACAAAGCACAAAAAACTGATCTCAAAGAGTACATGGTCAGCAAGAATATAACCTGAGGTATCCTCTCTCTGGCTGCTAGCATAAGCCCAGTTAACCTTAATAGGCTGCCCAAAACTGCAGATAATGTGCTGTTGTGTTAAAATATTAAATTAATAAAAGTTGTACCATAACTCAAAATTAAGATTCCACATACATATTCCTCCCATTCAGAGTTACAATAGCAAATGCAGCTGAACTGCGATCAAAGTAGTCCACAAAGCCATAGGATGACTGCAGAAGACAAAATAATGCAGATCATCATGGTTGGGATGATATAAGAACACATAGCAAGGAAAATATATATGGCCAAATATCTTTGGTGAACACACAACTTGTCATTCACTACGGGCAGCTAATGGGAATCATGAACTCTATCATACACTATTAATCCTTCATTGTTATTCTCTGCTTATAGATAAAATTATAAAGTATAACCAAAACTGACCTTCTCTTTCCTAATAAGTTTGCATCCTTCAAGGGCACCTGCAGTTGAAAAAAGTTCATGAAGAAGGGCGTCTGTAACCTGGGGATGAATGTTGCCGACATAACTGCATATCCTCAAAAGTTATTAGACATTAGAAATGAAATATATACCAAGCAAAAGAGTGGGTAAGTTAATAACCCCGCAGACAAAAACAAATGGATACACTTACGACAAAAAAAAAAAAAACAACAATACAACAGATAAATTTTAAAACATTTCAAGCTAAGGATTATCTTATTAGAGACAATGAAGTCAACAGGTCACTCAAGGCAGCTAAACTGGGGAAAAAAGACTAAATCAAAATAAACAAAGAGCAGCTGAAGATATTAATTTAATAAAATGAAAATAAAATGTCTATTAACACTCACACACTGCGGCATGTACTTGAATCAAAGCCAGGTGGCAGATTTCCACTCAAGATAGGCTCTATCTGCAAAATAAAAATGTAAAAAAGACAAAGAAAAAAAAAGGCCCTAAAAGCAAAATTATCCACTCTCCTTTCAACTAATCTGATCAAACAAATCGCATTTACAAACCATAGAAATAAATAAATACCTAACGTCTCAACAAGTAAAAAAAAAACAAAAACAAAAACAAAAACAAAACGACAAGATGAATTTGCACCACTAAAATCACATATATCTAGCAAAAACAAAAATAAAGGAAAACTAAAACAGCTGCTAGCTGATCAATTAGCAGGAAATTGAATTACAAGAAGTAATCACGAACATAAAACGATAAGAATTGGGAAGGATTAAGCTGAAAATGTGAAAAATAAGTGCTACGGAGAAATTAATAAAAATAATAAGGAAAAAAAAAAGCGATAAATAATAAAATAATAGGAAGCAAGGGAAAAGAGGAACCTGAGGAGGAGTAAGGAGAGCAGGGTGGTGGTAGAGAGAGGGCTGCATCATGGCATGCTGCCTTAACCTCTGTGGCTGCATCTTCAATTCTAGGGTTAGGGTTGCAGAGGAAGAAGAAATGGGGATTCAAAGGAAAATTGAAAAACAAGAGAAAGGAAAAAAAAACTAAAATAAAAGGAAAAATAAAAGGGAAAAAAAGGAAAAAGAAAAACCCTCGAAAGAGAGGGGAAATGGAAAGAAGAGAGACAGACGAAGACGAAGATGATAATGGATTGGAGGGACCGAGTCTCAGACAAACTTCTCCTTTAAAACTTCAGTTAAAAGAAGGCTTATAAAAAGATAATAATAAATAAATAAAAAGTAAAAATTAATAGGGTTAATGGGATATGCTGCTGACAGGTCCACCCATAGATTTTGTTTCCCAACTACGCTCATGGGCTTCTTCTTCTTCTTCTTCTAAGCCCAGCAGGCCCATATTAAGGTAAAAATATTTCAAAAAATGAATAAAATTTCATTTTCTTTCTACTATCCATTATTAACATATAGCCTAGTAGTTGGGAGAGGATGGTTTAGGGTAGTTAGAAATATGAGAATCTAGGTTTAATCTTCATTGCGACCATCTTTATAATCTTTCCTATCTTTATAAAAAAAAAAAACATAAATAACTTAATATAAAAATATTTAATCTTTCACATGAAAATAAGTTATTCTATCTCCTAACTTATGTGTGAAATGTTACTAAAAAGTAAGAATATGATGAGCGTGAATTGTTATAAACCGGTAATTTACCAAGATTATTTGGTATCGTAGAGCTTCAAATCCATTATGGGAAAAAATTAACTAAACCTTATTTTACCACCTACAAATTTTTTATTAATTATTTATTATATTTAAATTACAAAATTATTCACGTAAAATACTCTCCTGATTCCAAAACTGAACTAATAATAGTAATGTAAAATTCTCCAAATTAAACTTGGTTCTTTATCAAATAAAATCCAATAACAATTATCTTTAACACTTGAACAAAGTGAAACTAAGAAAACTTGAAAGTATAAAGAGATTGAAGTGAGGCAGAAAAAATGAGAGCTCTATTATTATGTAAAAAAGACAAATTACGGAACAAGATGAAATAACAAGTACTAACTAGAAGGGTGGTCTATAATATTTAGTATTTAGTAGATGCTGCATATATGCACAATTTTTCTTTGAAGTTTTATTCTCTAACAGGAAGCTAATTACTTTAAATATGCAGATTCAGGTGTTACATTGAGTCATAATACCATGCCGATCATAAACAGTTAAACTTACATGTTTCGTAACACGTCCAAACGTGATTCAAAGCCAGAATTACGTTTAAAACGTAAAAATTATAACTAAACCTGATAAATTACGTTAAAAATTTAAACCAAACGCACACCATAAGCGACCCAAAGCAATTACGCGTGTCATTTCATTTCATGGACGTGTCAGTGTCACAGACGAAGACTGAGTCTTAAGGGAGTGGTTCACTTTTTCTTTATGGACAGCTACTATATCATTTTTCATACATGCATCTATTGTTTTTTTCTTGTACAGTGCAATATTCATTTTCATCACTTATGTAAACCAACCACTATTAATTGATGCTCAGCTATGAAACACCACCTTTTGTTTTTGTTTTTCAACAATTACATGGCTAAAATCTGGATCAACTATTAGGTTCAAAAACAAACTTTATAACTTATATATTCTATTTTAATATTATCTTTAATTAATACTTTTTTATATCAAATCTTTAACTAATACGGAACTTAAATCCTTTTGCAGAAGCACCTTTTATCAATATTAATCTCAATGAAAGTTTCTTGGTAATCCTCCACTCCAGCGGCGAGTTTTGAAAGTATTTTGAGAGATCTAATTAGTTATGAGACTTTGCTCGAATGTGTGATTTTGTTGCAAATCTTAAAATGGAACTATTAGACATTAATCATGATTTATCAAAGATTTGTTGGGAAAGTTTCATATTTGTCTCGTCAATCTAATTTATAATGTACCTTGGATTTGATTTAATAAGATCATAATTTCTTTCATATGTTTTGTCCATTGATTGTTTTGATAAGAAGTTTTACCTCTAAAATTTGATCTCTTACTGTATACCATATTTTACAGAAAGTAAATGTATGTGTTAATATTGACTTACTAAACATGAAATTTCATATGAATATTCCTTCGGATAATAGAATAAATATCATTTTCAGTAAAATCCTTTATTTTAATTGACAAAAAATTATTGTTCAAATCAATCTTAATTTAGTTTTTTAAGTTTAATGATGTAATATATATATATATATATTGACACATGCAGATTTAATAGATAATAGTAATGTAGATGACTTAATGATAAATCTTAAATATGTTAAAGAAGATTTAGGCTCAACTCAAACTATAATATTCCGGTGTGCGTATCAAACTCAAATCTAATTTAGCTAGTGCGACAAAGACAAGCCTACAAGACTACAAATTATACATATATCACAAAAATAAAATACATTAATACACTGCAAACAAACACGCTATTTTTTTTTCCGTTCATGTAATTAAATATGAGTTAATCATCCATACACTATCAGTGTAAAGTATTTTACACTGACAACCAATCATATCTTTTAAATTATTTTGTTTTATTTTTATTTCATTGAATAAGCAAATGATATGACACAATTAGAAGATATGAAATTTCCCCTTCAACAAGATCAACATAAACATATCACCTTCGACAACTTAACAAAGCTCCAAGCAACAAATATAATCTTATCCCGTTTGCATAGCAAGTATAATCATGACAGTTTCGACCACAAAAAAAGGTAAACTTACATAAGAAAACACATAAATATCAACAATAGTTAATCAACATACAGATTAAAAGTATAATTCACAACTTAACCATCAAACAACTTTCAACAATAATAACTTTGCAACGTATCCAACATTTAACATAACAATATAATTCTCTTAATCAACTAAAATAACCAAACAACTTAACAATTGAATCAAGATCAATTTCAACCTTCAACAACCAGTACAACTCAAAATGTGTATGATAATCTCAACATAACAACTTTAAATAACTAATTTGTCATCACATATATCAACTTATAGAGATCTCCTATAAATGAAGTGAGGAGTTTAAGTGACTTGTCCCTATCCAATCATAGCATTAAACCTATCTCAACCAGGTTAAATATAGTAAAATGTTAGGTCTCATAAGAGAGTCAAGCATAGATAACTTAGTTTAATTTCTCAAGTTTTGTCATTTAAATAATGAAGTATTATGCTATGTCAAGTTATAATAGTTTGGGTAAGAGTTTATCACAATATTAATTAGCTTAACTAAGCCACATATAAAATTAGTCCACCGACTACTCTTCAAATACAACAACCATTTGAAACTAAGTTAGGGATTCTAGCATCCGATTTCATACTTTACTCAGTTAATCATTCAATTAAGATATGATTCAACTACTTCCATACCAAAACAACATAAGCCCTAAAGGAAAATAACTTTCAAAATAACTTAATTCACCTTTAGTATCTATGTATTTCAACTTAGACATGTATCCCAACCACATGTCCTTAACTTTACCACTTTATACAACATATGACTTTTAACTTTCATCAAATTAATCAATAATATACAACTCAACATCAATAGTACTCATCATCAATTATTATTATTTAACATCATTTAAATATCAATAATTTATTATATTTCAACATTTAATATCTCAACACTTCATATATTATCATATGTTATAAGAGATTGAAAAAGATGCCCATCAAGAAAAAAAAAAATCCTATAATTAAAAGAAAAAAAAACTAAAAAGGGTAAGCTACTGTCTATGAGGACCGCACATGTTTTTAAATGAGATTGTAATTCATGCTACAAAAAAAAAATCTAAACAATTATATGTGACTTTTCGAGACACGTTCCCTTTTTAAAAGTCGATATTTTATGGTATGTAATTTTCTTTTTAAGAATCATGTTTTTCTATATAAAAATATATATAATTACTATAAATGTTACAAATGTATTTAATATCTTTAATAAACATAAAAATATAGAATTTGTAACATATAACTTTCTGAAACTTAAATAATCTTCCAATAAACATCTTAAAGTAAACCTGGGTTTGTGGTGAAACGACGGATATAAACAGCCAGAAATTTTTGTTCCGAGCTTCGGTAGTGGCTTTCTTTTACTAAGCCCAATAATGATAAACTACGCAAAGAAGCCCAAATTGTAGTGACATCATAATAGGCACCATTGTAAAGGACGTAAATAAAAAATTTGCTTAAATATGTTTTTAGTCCTTCAAATTTAGAATAAATCTATTTTGGTCCCTCAAATTTAAAATTATTATTTTTAGTCCCTGTAATTTCAAAAAAATCTTATTTTAATCCTTATATTCAAATTTTGTTAAAAAATTTATCAAATATTATTACATAAAATCTACCTATTGGTATTTTTATTAATGAAAATATCACATTAAATTTGATTGATATTGTATAATTGTCTTAATTAGTCACTTTTAAATATGTTATTTGTGACCTAAGGGATTAAAATAAGATTTTTGAAAATTATAAGGACTGAAAACAGCAGTTTTAAATTTGAGGGACCAAAAACAAATTTATTTTCAATTTGAGGGATTAAAAACATATTTAAACCATAAAAAATTCCTACCACATGATAACTAATAAATAAAGATTAATTTATACTTGTAATACGTGATTTTCGTGAAAATAATTTTAAAATATTTTCTAGTGTACTAAAAGTATGGTTTATTTTTTACAAAGGTGGGAATTATATAAACTAGTATCGCCATTAAATATAAAAATTAGGTAAATCAGTAAAATGTAAAAATATATGCTCTGTCTATTGCTCTTGAATGAATATATAAATTATAGTAAATAATTTCTTTATTATATTATAAGTGTGAAATACCTATTAATTTTATCAATTACTTATTTCTATTAGAGAATATGAATAACCATATTTTGTTCAAAAAAATGAATAACCACATTTAACAAAGTCTCTTTCTCAATAACATTTTTTTTAATTCACAAAATTTAAATTTAATGTTCAACTTAAAAATTCTGAAAATTCAATCTTATTCAAACCACATAATGTCGATAAATGATTCTTGTACAATAAAATTATACATCAAAACTAATAGATGGACAATAGAGAAACTTGAAATGCGATAAATAATGAGATAGAGAGATTAAAAAAAATTGTATAAATTATCGTATAGATGATATATATATATATATATATATTAAAG